GAGGCGGATAGAAGAGGGATAGAGGAGAGGATAGGTGGAGCGGAAACAAACAGGTCAAAGAGGCGGGGATGGGGCCAGGAAAGGTGAGTGTAGGTAGGGAGTTAGGAAGGGGATAGGTCAGTCCAGGGAGGACGGACAGGTCAAGGGGGCGGGATGAGGTTGGTCGGTAGGAGATGGAGGTGCGGCTTGGGGTGGGAGGAGGGGATAGGTGGGAGGAAGAACAGGTTAGGGAGGCAGGGACGAGTTGGACTGGTTTTGGGATGCGGTGGGGGGAGGGGAGATTTTGAAACTTGTGAAATCCACATTGATACCATTGGGCTGCAGGGTTCCCAAGCGGAATATGAGTTGCTGTTCCTGCAACCTTCGGGTGGCATCGTTGTGGCACTGCAGGAGGCCCAGGATGGACATGTCGTCTGAGGAATGGGAGGGGGAGTTGAAATGGTTCGCGACTGGGAGGTGCAGTTGTTTATTGCGAACCGAGCGTAGGTGTTCTGCAAAGCGGTCCCCGAGTCTCCGCTTGGTTTCCCCGATGTAGAGGAAGCCACACCGGGTACAGCGGATGCAGTATACCACATTGGCAGATGTGCAGGTGAACATCTGCTTGATGTGGAAAGTCTTCTTGGGGCCTGGGATGGGGGTGAGGGAGGAGGTATGGGGGCAGGTGTAGCACTTCCTGCGGTTGCAGGGAAAAGTGCCGGGTGTGGTGGAGCTGGAGGGGAGTGTGGAGCGGACAAGGGAGTCACGGAGAGAGTTGTCCCTCCGGAAAGCAGATAAAGGTGGGGAGGGAAAGATGTCTTTGGTGGTGGGGTCGGATTGCAGATGGCGGAAGTGTCGGAGGATGATGCGTTGGATCCGGAGGTTGGTGGGGTGGTACGTGAGGACGAGGGGGATTCTTTTTTGGTTTTTATTGCGTGGACGGGGTGTGAGGGATGAGGTGCGGGAGATGTGGGAGACACGGTTGAGGGCGTTCTCGACCACCGAGGAGGGGAAGTTACGGTCCTTGAAAAACGAGGACAACTGAGATGTACGGGAGTGGAATGCCTCATCCTGGGAGCAGATGCGGCGGAGGCGAAGGAATTGGGAATAGGGGATAGCATTTTTGCAGGAAGGTGGTGGGAGGAGGAGTATTCTAGGTAGCTGTGGGAGTCGGTGGGCTTGAAATGAATATCGGTTTCTAGGTGGTTGCCCGATATGGAGACAGAGAGGTCCAGGAAGGGTAGAGAGGTGTTAGAGATGGTCCAGGCATCTGCAGTTCCTACTATCTCTGGATGACCTCACAATTTCCTACATTAAACTCCAGCTGCCAATTTTTTTTTTCCCACTCACTCAACCTACCTATATTGCCTTGTATATTCCTTATGTCCTCATCACAGCAATCTGTTCCACCTATTCGAGGGTCCTCTGCAAATTTGGATACAATATACACTCTCCCATCTATTGAGTCACTAATACAGATTATAAATAATAGAGGCCCTAGGACTGAAACCTTTGGACTCTACTAGTTAGATCTTTCCAACCTGAAAAAGATGCATTATTCCTGACTCCGTCTTCTGTGTGTTAATCAATCCTCAATCCATGCTAATATCATGAATTCCTATCTTGTGCAATATCTGTTTCTGTGGCATTATATCGAATGCCTTCTGGAAATTCTAATGCAAGACATCTGGGGAAAGATTTAAAAGGGATCTAAGGGGCAACTTTTTCATGTAGAGGGTTGTACATATATGGAATGAGCTGTCAGAGGAAGTGGTTGAGGCTGGTACAATAACAACATTTAAAAGGCATCTTGATGGGTACATGAATAGGAATTGTTTCGAGGGATATGGGCCAAATGCTGGCAAATTGGATGAGATTAATTTAGTATATCTGGTTGAAAGGTTGGTTTCCATGCTGTGCAACTCTACGACTCTATGAATCTATCTACTTCTTTCTCTTTATCAATTGTGCTTGTATTATCCTCAAAAAATTCAGCAAATTTGACAAACATGATTTTCTTTTCTGAAAACCATGTTTACTGTGATTGTATTAAGCTTTTCAAAATGTCCTACTATTTCTTCCTTAATAATGGACTCTAGCATTTTACCAATTTTCCAGCTTTCTGTCTCTCTCCTTTCCCTGAACAGTTGTCACATTAGCAGTTTTCCAATCTACTAATTTCAACCCATTCCTCTACTATCTCTACAGATAGTTCTGTTAAAACCCTTGGATGCAGGCCATTAGAGAATGCAAGCTATTGGTTTAAATCACCTCCTATTTTCCTTTTCCCAGTTATTAAATTGCCAGTTGCATCGTTCAAGGATCTCTCACATTTTAATATTCTCTTTTTATATGTCTGTAGAAACTGTTGCCATTTGTTTCTGCATTTCTTTCCAATTTACTTTTCGAATTAATATTTTTAATATCTTTTTAGTCATCTACTGCTGGTTCCTAGAAAAATTCCAATTCTCTCACCTACCACTATTTTTTTGCTCCATTGTATGCCAAAAACTCTTGAAAAACTAAGATGTTGGGTGTGTCTGATCGGGTTGTGTTTAAGGGGTAGGATCATAAAGTATGATCAGGAGGGGGTCAGCATCACAATGTCAGGAATTAGAGCAAGTTTTATTTCTCTAATGTTTCCTGGCTAGCTATTTAAGGTAAGTTCTGAAGTCTTAAATTGTTTTTTTAGGGGGTTTCCAGATGCTAAGTAATTGCCCATCAGAAGTTTAAATTCTTCAGGTAATTCTTGTGTAGTTATTTTGGCAGGAGATTGAAATATGCAGATCTTGATGCGATAGTGTGACCTGAGGAAAAATCCACAATGAGTGAAATATTTCAGTTTTACAGACTCTGCTTTGGGTGTCAATTTAGCATTTCTGAATCAATGCCTATTCGACATAAATGCCACAAAGTAACTCAAACTTCTTGTGCTGCCAATACATGCCCTTGGGAGAACTCATTCATGGAGTATAACTATGTTCTTATATGGTCTCTGTGATTGACACATACCTGAGCATAGCACTGGGAAGTCAACTCTGGATTGCTGCCTCCATTTAGCTGAGTACTACATGGTGCTTTCGGTCCTGACAAAATTTGTTAACTCAAATCTCTAAGTGAATAATTGCTAAACGTGAACTTTTAAATCTTTTTGATGTGAAACATAACGGTAAGTAGACTTTATTGTTCTATGATCCATTTCTTTCCTCCATTTGCTAATGCACAAACAAGATACTAGTGGACACCACTTAATGCTCATGTTTACATTTTTGCTAAAATTAGCAGAGAAGAAAACATACCCTATGTCTCTAACTTATCTTTCAACATGTTGCAATAGAAATAGAATTTTAAAAATCTTAATTATTTTTCATTGGGGATTCATCAAAGCAGATGAAAATTTTGTCATCTTTAAAGGATGCAATTACAAAATTACATGCATTTTGGCCAATTGTTTTCTAAGATATTTACACTTTAATGATCTGTCGGAAAATGGAGTTCTACATTCTACATTTCATATATTTTGCTCTGATGCTTTTATTTCAGCAACTAGTTCTCCAATTAATCCTGTACATTTCAACTTACCTCCAAATCTGACTTAATTTTTCTTCACAATCTTAGTGTTCACTGCATTGTAGTGCATTGTCCATTTCAGGCTGTGAGACTGCTGTCCCTGTTGTGTACAGCATGTGCGCTTTGCCTGAGAGGGATATCATGAATGGGCATTCATGTTACATCAGCCTGGAGTTCTAAGTGTTTTTATCTAAAGTATTATTTACTCCATGTTGACCTTGTTGAGAAAAACTAGTTAATCTCTAATATAGCATTGCACATGATGCACTGGATATTGCAAACCCTTAGCGAGTGTATTTTTGGCATTGTGATATGTAAAATAGTCTGGGTGGTTAGTCCTCCGCCTTCTCACACCCCAAGCTAACTGCATAATACAGAGGTGAGTAGGTGTTGAAACCATCAGTCTGCCCACCACATGTAAATAAATAATTGAGACTCAATTGAGTTTTTTAAAACTTCAAACCAAAGTACATTCAGGGTAAAAAGAAAACTAGGGAAAAAGTAGGGCCCATTAAGGTCCACAATGGTAATTAGTGCATGGGACTAGTCTTTCTCAACAAGGTCAACATGGAGTAAATAATACTTTAGATAAGAACACTTAGAACTCCAGGGTTATAAATGAATACTTTATGTCAATATTCACAGAGAGACGGAAGATGTGGGTAGGAATCAGGGAGAAGTACTGTGATATAATTAAATTAGCATAGACAGAGTTGAGGTTCTTATGGTCTGGCCGGCTTAAAAGTAAATAAATCTCCAGGGTCTGATGAAATATATCACAGGCTGTTGAATGAGGCAAAGGAGG